CCATCGGTGCAAAGAAATTTCATCCACCGGTTCGATTCCTTTCCAGGCCTCTCTATCGATCCAATCGGCTGTGGAACTCATCACCGTCACCTATTTAATAAACGACGGCGATATTCGCGACAGTGATCGCTCAATCTATAGCAGTGCTTAAAAATAGTTGCTGCACAAATAAATTCATAACTTTTTTCAAATGAAGTCGAATGAAGATAGAATTTATATCAAAAGTTTAGAGCTCGACGAGATCTAAAACTTTGTGGTTGATGAAATTTTTATTCGACATTGTATAGGGGGCCATATATATATTAAGTTCTCAGATTTTGAATTTTCAATTTTTAATTAACCTTGGATGGAGACATGTCTTGTATCGAAGTTGTTGTGTTTGACAAGATCTAAAACTTTATAGTTGAAAAGTTTTCCATTTAATATTGTTTACAAGTCAAAATATTGATTACAAGATTTATACATATTAGTACAAATAGATAACATTATATAAATAGGGACAAATGACTGTGTAGTGTGGTGATAGGGGGTTGAACGCATGAGGCGAGAGGTTGTCGGTTTGAATCCTAGCAGCTGCACTCTATTATGAACTAGATGATAATACCCCGCGCGTTGTTGCTATAATCTTGTATGTATTTCTATAAAGAAGAATGGTTCATGGATTAAGAAATAGTGAAGTCATAACACACACTGGCACAAATGTTAATTTGAATCTATGAGGGGACCAAATTAATTTTATGAAACAAACAGTTGGTAGCTACTGATGGATGGTATATATATACGACCTGAGCAAGCTCTTATATGAAATGGGCTGGTCCTTTTAATTACATTGGTATAAAAAATTGGGCTTGCAAGCGCCCAGACGCCTATGCTTGCAGCCATTTTTTGTGCCGTTTCGTGCGTCCACGCGGGACTGATGTCCTGAATGTCACCAGCATTGAGAAAGAGGGAGAGAGGACGGCGGATGCCCAGCCGGCGCCGGGTGGAGGAGGAAACACCGAGGTGTGGCAGCAGAAAGCGAGGAGGGAGATGCAACATCCGATCTACTTTAGAAACATCCAGATGCAACATTTGCAACATACGTCTGAAGGCAAATGAAACACATGAAATAAGCATCTGAAACACTTGTGGAAAATGCCTAAAAAAACACTTGAAAACCATTACAAACATATGCAACATCCAGATGAAACACTGACAAACATACATATGAAAACACCTGGAACACTTGAAACATATGCTTGCAACATGCATATATATGCAACATCCAAATCTACTTTTGCAACATCCAGATAAAACACTTGCAACATACATCTGAAATAGATGAAACATTTGGAACATACGTGCATAGCCAATACAACATGTGCAACATCCCGATGTACTTTTGCAACATCAATATACAACACTTGCAATATAGCTCTAAAACATGTCAAATAATTAAAATATACTCTTACAACATGTGCTTTCAGCTTGCTGCTTGGATGAATGGAGGCTCATCGACGTGGAGCTTGATGCCGTGGAGTGAGCGGAGATACCAGTGGGCAGGCGGTTGCGTGGCCCCGGCGGACCATTCTCGCGCTACTTCCCGCGGTCGTTCACGCAGGTGCAGCCGGTGCATGCGACGAGGCCGCCCGAGTTGCCATCGAGCCCTGCCACCGTGGACCTCATCTGCCTCGTCGAGAAGCTCTAGGAGCAGGAGTCCCGGCCGCCTCCGCACCGAGCTGCTAGAGCGCAAGATCCTCAAGGAAACCGTAGCCATCGTGTTGTTCCTCGAGACCGACGTCGCGACTCCAGGCCGAGAATGTGTGCCTTCGCGTCGAGCTTGACGCCGCCAGGACCAACCAGTAGCGGGTGGTTAAGTTGGAAAAGAAGGTGCCGGAATCATTTTCTTTTTTTTTAAGAAGCCAGAAGCAGGCTTCGTATTAGGCTCCACAGGCCCACAATGGGCGCGTCCGAAGTGCCAGACGTCCTGAGGAGAGCATTACCGATTCTAAATAGTGTTTGCGCCCTTGTCAGTGAATGTTCCAATCTTAGTCATGATTATGTCCAAAGAGACAACTTGTCAATTGTTTACTGCTCAACACTGATAGTGAGCGAAAACAAAAACAAAAATTAATGCCATGATGTACATTAGTTTAATCACTTGATATATGGTAACCTGAACTGAAAAGGGGAAATTTAGATATTGAAGAAACAGGTAAAAACTACCGGAAACTCTCCAAGCAAGTTAGAAGTTGCTCAACGGCAGATGATGCTGTTTAGTATTTTTGGATAAAACTTAATATTGACTACATGTGTGAATAATAATTGAAAAAATAGGTAAAAGCAATATATATTAGAAAAACTCACCTAGCGAGTCAGAAGTTGATCACGATCGGTTGGAGTTTGTTTAGTATTTTTGGACAAAGCTGAATAACATTCCATGAGAACCTTTAGATTCCATCGGTAAGGATGTGGTCATATGAATTTTGTATAGTTGTCGTAATGTTTAGACATAAAAATTCTTGCCGATATCTCCCAGAAATCCGAAGCTAGCCACGTCCCAAAATAAACTTGCAAGCTATGTTCACAACTACGTTACAATCATTGTGATCCACATCTATTGCAAACAAGGACTGATTGACTCACCAAGCGAACACACGAAGATTGATTTCTTCAGGGGTAGGCCCAGCTCAATTCTTGGGTATTCAATTGAATACCCAATATTTATGGTAGAACTTGAGTATATATACGCTAGCCCCCGGACGCCCGCGCCGATGTCCCCCATCTCGCGTCCCGCACCCTGCTCGCCCACGTCTCGCTTGGTGCATTCGCCCGCAAGCATGTGGGGCTCGCCCGTGCCAGTGGGGACTGCCTCCACCTTCTCGCGCCTAACACTGAGGCAAGACAACAAAAAGGGAAGGAGGTAGATGCAACACACGATCTAGTGTTAAAACATCCAGATGCAACAATTGTAACATATGTCTGAAAATAAATGAAACATGCGTCTAAAACACTTACAAAAATATCTAAAAACACTTGAAATCATTATAAACATACGCAACATCTAGATAAAATACTTGCATTATATGTGTGAAAACATATACAACATATATATAAACCCACTTGCAACATACGTTGGAAAAAAACACATGAAACATTGAAAATAGGAGCTTGCAAGATATGTGTACAACCATTGCAACATGTGCAACATCACGATCTACTTTTGCAACATCTATATAAAACACTTGCAACATACCTCTAAAATATTTGAAACACTTGAAACAAACGGTTGCAACATGTAGTTTCAGCGCAAACATCTCCTTGCCGCTTGGAGGATGGAGGCTCGTCAGCGTGTGGAGTTCTCCAGAGGCAGCGGTCCGGCGGTGCTTGTATGTAGCACTCGGCGGTGGCTGCGCGACAAGGAAGGGGGCAGTGGCCGCGCGCCGGGGCGGGGAGGCAGTGGCCTCAAGCCGCGCTAGGCAGGGCTAGTAGCCGAGCGCCGCGACTCACAGGCAGCTGCGTGCCTGGCAGGACCGGCCACCGCGCCGCCGTGACTCACGGGCAGCCACACGCCAAAACCATGATAGGGCAGCCGCGCGCCCATCTGGTAGGGCTGGCAGTCGAGCGCCGCATGCGGGAGCGGAGCCGAGTGCTGCGAGCGGGAGTGAAGTGGAGCGGAGCAAGGTGTGCAAGAGTTGATTTTGTTTTTTATTAGGCGAGCAACGCATGCGGCACTAAGTGGAGCGAGACATCTGACCTTCCAGACGTCTTAATGGTAGTATTACCGTTTATTATGAGCCATAAGAAGCAGCCTACAGGGAAGAGCCGGCACCTCCATACCAGGCAGCTCATGGACGAACGCGGTGGAGAGCTCGAGCGGCGTTGCCGCCGCTACATTCCAAGGTGAGGTCGCTGCGCATTACCACTACTGTCCTGTCCCGAATAGAATGTTGATCGTAATCAAAGTTAAGAACAATTGAGGAACGTGGGATGTTGATCGTGTGTGCGTGTGGTGCCCACGAATAGGACAACGAAAAGTTCATTGTAAGATCCGCCTATGGTAGTATAGATATTAGGCGAATTCATTATCTGATCGCAAGCCCGTCTCCTTCGCGCCTCCGGCAACCGGACAGCGCTCCAGGTCCTTGTAATCTGTTTTTCCCAGTTCTATATACACCTCCCTCCTCTCTCAAACTCTCTTGCCCAGTCGCCGCCTACGTATTTTGGGTTAGGCTTGATGACCCGTTTGCTTCGTACGCGCGCGTGGTATAGCTTCAGTTTGCGCCCGGCCCTTTTTGGCGATCGCCTCTCTTTCCTCGTGCTGGCGTGTCCTTCACCATCCCTGGTGCAGAACAAGTACTTTTTTCTTTCTTTTTTTGCGAAGACAGAACAAGTAGATGTAGCCGTTGCAACATCTTGAATGCTGACATTCGCGTACATTTTTCTTGTCTACTATGTGGGCCTCTATTGAAATTCTGATGAATCAAACCAACCAGTGCCCGATGTTTAAGATCTACTAAGAACGCTCGTACAAGTGAAATTTTTGGCCTAATAGCTCTCACCAGACCACCGTAACTTTACCTCTCCCTAAACAACGCATCTCCTACGATAAAAAGAAAAAAGAAAATAAGACCACCATTCGTGCGACCATCTATCGCTCCGTCGGTCCGCCCCGGTACCATGCCGCTCGCCCGCGACCGCGATACAACCGACCCCCTCCCCTGCCCCTCCCACCTCCCCGCACTGCCAAACCCCTCGCCCCCGCCGCCTCCTCTTGCCTCCCCCGCCGCCGCGCTCCGATCCAGTCTCCCGCGGCCCCGCGGCGCGCCCCGAGCTCGTCGCCCCGCGCGCACGCGAGCTGCCCTGCCCACCTGGACCCGCGCCGGCGAGCGAGACCCCATTGCGGCGCGCCGCCTCCCACGCACGCGGCAGCAGGGCGCGGGGAGCGAGGCCGGCAGTCCGCGCGCGCCTGGCCGTTATGGGTCGTTGCCGGCGCCGGGGCTGATGCGGAGGCCGCTGCCATGTCGGACGTCTCGTCGTATCTCGGCGGCATCCGGGCGGGGCCCGTGGAGCGTGACATCGAGCAGGTGCGTGCTGCTAACCCTTCTCTGGGTGGATCGATTTCCCCTCCCCCTGTCCCTGGTTCTACTGCGGGTGCAACTGAGATGTGGATGGGTAGATCATCATCTATCGCCTACCGCTTACGTGCTCTCCTTCTGCGTGTCGCGGATCGATTTCCCCTCCCCCGTCCCTAGTTCTACTGCGCGTCCCTGGTTCTACTGCGGGTCCGACGTGAAATGGTGCCTGATTCCGGCGGAATTCATGGGCGTTGATGCTGTAGTTTGCTGTTTTCTTCTTCTTCTGTGCTACAATGGAGCTCAGACTGGATATTCCAGGTAGCTGTTCCCCTCCCTCTGCTGAAATTCCGGTAGCTAGGAAGGTGGTTGACTTATTGGGCATCCAACCACTGATTCAAGTGTTTGGAGGTCAAGCTAGGACTATTATGCTTCTCATTCCCTGTTTTCTGGAGCTGAGGGGATCAGTCATCAGTGGATGCTTCGGTGAACATAAGATTCATTCTGGGAGCAAGGACCATTAGTTGATAGTTTAGTTCTTTCACTTGCATGCTCGTGCCTTTTCCTCTCGCTGTGTTGGCCTTGGTGCTGTGCTTGCCCATTCTGTTGTAGCTGCTACATGGCACTGAAGTCGAGCGGGATTTGACGGATATCGTATTGGGTTTCGTGGATTTGTGAAGAATTGTTTGGGGGTGGTTGCTGTGGCTTTGTGGTTTTGTGGATTCCAACTCCTGTGAGTTTTGAGAGGCATGTCCGACCATACACACAAATGGACAGTTTAAGCTGATTCTATTACTGTAGTCCTATACTCCTATTTTTGGCACCAAGGAGGGTGTTGCAGTGTGGGGGGCTTTGGAATCAAGCGATGAATGATTTGTTTTTGTCTTTATGTACAATATATGTCCAACATTCCGTTTGTGGCAAACTTATTAGACAGAGAGTGAAGATAAGGCTGGATTAGGATACTTGAATACAACCAGCATGCTTCAACTGATTATTCTGACAAGTGATAAAATGGCATTTTCATTTGTTCGTACTCAGTAATGCATTTCACGTTTTTTGCTATTAAGGGACCGCATTTGTCGTACCAGATAATGTGCAACATAAGAGCTGCTGGGGGCACTGATCAAAACCCTGTTTCAGTTTTATAGTGAGATGCTTCATAAGCTTCCTTCCAAGTGCATCTGACAAGATGCTAATAATACAAAGTAGTAAAACAAAGGCAATACAGGAAAAGGTCATGCATTAACTGAAAATATCATAATCATTGATATATTCTTATCAAATCAGCAAGCTTATTAGTGGCTGTAGTTGCACTCACCACTGTAAGTTTACCTTATATTGTACTGAAGATGGTGTGTGTTTCAAAGCTCTTTTTTAGAACTTCCAAGAATGAGTCATTACTTTGTTACTGTGGTTCTGGTTTTCTACTGTGTTTCTTGTCATGTAAAAAAATACTGTGGACTTGGGCTCCTGTAGAAATGTGACTGTTTGTTGTGTCTGGGTGTTTCCTACTTGTGTTGATAAGAGGATAATTGTTATTAGTAATGGATATTCCATGTGTTTGTGTGTTTTTTCTTTTCTCACCTATCTAATAAGTACAACTGCCAGATTGCATTCATTTAAAACATGTTAGAAATCCGGACTTTTATGAGGATTATTTATTTATATGTCCAACTATACACAAAGAAGGGCATAATGATCTTCTTGCCAGTGTGTTGTTTTTATTCAGGGTCTAATGAATATTTGCTTTTGCAGGCTCACGAGGATCTCGTTGAAGATGTTGCTTGGCACCTGAAGGATGAAAATATATTTGGATCTGTTGGGGATGACTGCAAGTTGATGATGTGGGACTTGCGTACAAACAAACCCGAACAATCTATCGCTGCGCATCAAAAGGAGGTGGCATGCTGTAATCATGGATTATCAAACTGTATTTTGAGGCCTGGATGATTGCACAGTTGCATTTGCACAATATCCTTACATGTTCATATTAACCAGCAGTTCATAGGAGCGGTATATGAAACAAGTTTTATAAAGCTATAAGATAATGTTCACTGCACCCCCATCAGATAATTTCCCCTTTTTCAGTTTATTGTTGGACGTTATGTATTGACACTTCCTACTTCTGGTACCTTATTTTTACTGCTAAGGTAATTTTACACACATGATTCAGTTATGTGTGGCTTCCCTTATGATAAGGCAAATGGTGTGCACTGATGGTCATCCAACCTTTCAGTTGGTGTTTTTATTTGCTTCAAAGAAAAGTTTGGTTTTGTAAAAATTGTTATATGCTCGGTATGTCAGTCTTGTCATATGTCATGGATTGGTTTCTGTTCATAGTGTGCATGCTTTCCTTTTCCAGGTCAACTCTTTGTCATTCAATCCATTCAATGAATGGATATTGGCTACAGCATCTGGAGACGCAACTATCAAACTATTTGACATGCGAAAACTATCAAGAAGCTTGCATACTTTCGACAGTCATGAGTACGTATTTTTTTCTGTGCCCTATGTGTTCAGTCTTTATTTCTTCGACAGTCATAGAATGTGCCGTAGCCAAATAAACAGCTGCATTATTTAATCCTTTTACATTTTGCACTGTATACATTTGTACCGATTTGTTGGAAGATAACAAGTATATTAATGGGGCGGGGCAGTGGCAGACTTCGCTTGCAAACCATTTATGGCACTATTTGTTGTAATGTGCAGTTGGTAGAGTACATAGATGATACTGATTTCTTTAATGTGCAAACTTATCAAGTCGCAAAGTTCAATTAAAAAAAGTCAATTTGCAAATTTCCTTTCAGATAGCAACCTGCTTTGAAGCAATGATGCACACTGTATAAGTCAGTCTGTCTGTTTATCTAACTTAGCTCATTTATGTAGCTTGTCTTACTTTTCTCCGTTATGTGTCTGACATTATATGTTGCGCAATTTGCACCTGTAGGGCGGAGGTGTTTCAGGTTGAATGGAATCCAAATTTGGCTACTGTATTAGCTTCATCTGCCGCAGACAAGAGAGTGATGATATGGGATATTAATAGGTAAGTTGAGTGAAATTCAGCTCCAAAGTTCTATTATGTTTGCAGTTGTATGAGATTTATCCAGTTCAACAGGTACATTGGGGGAGCTCTCCAAGCAAATAATTAACAGATTTACAAATGCTAACTGTACAAACGCTAAATCTATAGGAATTACCTTTGAGAGCTTTTAGTTGCTAAAGCTCATGTGATTTTCTAAATTTTCATATTCTTAAAGTCAAATCCTTGGTATTTTTTTTATGCTTGGTATGTTCCATCAACATGGGCTGAAAGTACCGTTGGCTGATTTGTTGTGAGAGAAAAATATTGTTTGTTAGCTGCAAAAGTATGGCTTATAAGCCAAGCGAACAAGGCGATGACAGATTCCAGTACAAACTGAAGCAAAGGCTCGGGTTTTATTGGTGACCGTTTCTTTTGACCATCGTCCATTTCCTTTTTCTGATTCTCTGTGTTGTGTCCCTTTAGGATTGGCGATGAGCAGTCAGAGGAGGACGCAGCCGATGGACCACCGGAGCTGCTGTTCGTCCATGGAGGCCACACAGCAAGATATCAGAACTGCCGATATAAAACATTATCTTACCCGTATCACAGAAAGGTGTAACATTATTTTACCCATATCACGGAAAGGTGTATATCGTAGAGTTTATGAGTTTGCGATGCTGCGCTCTCTACGATGACTGTGTTAATTTCACGAACTTTGTTTTTTTAATTAAATGCCACTTTGTTAATTTCACAAATTTTGTTTTTTTGAATTAAATGTCACTTTAATGTTGGTATTTAATTTTTATAGTATTATTATCTTATCATGCGATCCGTGTGTTTTTAGTACAAAATGTTAGCTATCATGTAGCAACGTACGAGCACGCTACCTATTGCCTGAAAAAGGCTCTTTGATCCAATATAATGTCCCGTAACACTTGTTAGCACGGACCGCAGTGGTGTGGATTCTCTAACTTGCTGTAGTGAAGTCACGGATGACTTTTCATCACCTGGATGCCATCTATTTCTCGTCTAACGGTTGGGAAGCTTCAGTTTAGTAGTGCTAGCCGGGATGCAAATAGCAGCCTATTTAAAGCTCAGTTCCTAGACAGAGCAAGGATAGTTGGCAAATTTTTCTTTTTTCTGTACAGCTTATGTTTTCTATATATAAATAAAAACATTTACGTATGAGCTTGGCTAAAGATAAAATTTATACATTATAGTCCTCAAGAATATCTACAACTTTATAATATATGAATTTTTCATTTAAATCATTTTGTTTGAATAAATTGACTCAAATTATCTACTGTTACACAGCACTTCTTCCAAAAAAAATAATTTTTTATATAATCCCGGATGAAGATAAAAATTATAAAATAATCTTACTTCCCAATAATATATATAACCTTTTAATTCATTGCTCGTCTGAACAATCGTTTAGCATGTTTACACACCATATAAACGCTACACAGTGGTACACCGTTTCCGTTTAATCAGTCGTTTAGCCCATTCAAATGACCGCTTTGCCCATTTAATTGGACATTTAGACCGAATAATGGCTAAATGGCAAGTGACTGATTGTTTATCGTTTAGGATAACACTGCGAAAAGTCAAATTCAAAATCCCTTGTACTCAAAATTATTTTTAAATTTTATTTCAAAAATTATAAATCATTTGAGCTCTATTTTAATCTCCTTTCAACTCATATCCACCAACTATATCCGTCCCGGTCCCCTCACCCAGACATATATCTAGCACACTGTAGCGATAATATCCTACTTTTGAAAAAAAGTGTACAACCTCTGAAGAGTGTATAGTCTATCTGGATAGGCGTGTCTGCGGTCCTAGATGAGTTACGGTTTGGTTTCAACTAGTTGGGTTGTAGATGTTGTGTGAGCATATAAATTTTTATCTTTATTTCGGTGCCAAGATAGATTCAAATAGAAACATTGTGAACTAAAAGGACGCATATATTATTGAGAAATAAGATTATTTTATAAATTTCATCTTCATACAAGATTATTTAAAAAGTTATAATTTTTTGAAGTGCCATGTAATGGTAGATAATTTGAGGCAAATTTCACACAAAATGATTTTAAATGAAAAAGTCAGATACTATAATTGTAGATATTTTTCAGGACTAGAATTTTCAAATAAATTTTATATATATCCAAGCTCATGTGTAAAAGTTTTGAAAAGATAAGCTGCACAGAAGAAAGTAAATTATGCCAACTATCCCTGCTCCCTACGCATTTCCGTGAACCGGTCTTTGGATGGGCTGCTATTTGCATCGCGGCTAGCACTAATACAGTGAAGAGCTGTTTCTAAAAAAAAGCGAAGAGCTTTCCAACCATAGGATGAGAAATAGATGGCATCCAGTGATGGAAAGTCACCGGAAATAGATGGCATCCAGGTGATGGAAAGTCACCAGTGACTTTACTACAGCAAGTCAGATAATCACACCGGGAGCGCAGTGAATTTCTGCAGCCAACGGCCACCGATGATTTGTCAGCTAACACTATTCAGAACTAGACTAGATATCTTCTAGCGTCGATGCGGCGGTCACGACCTTACAGGCAACGGCCGCCGACAATCAGCCTGTTCGTTTTAGCTGAAACGATCATGGATTATTACTGTTGGCTAGTTTGGTGTGAGAGAAAAATACTATTCTGATTTATAATCCACTATCATTTACGACCCAGCAAACAGGCTGAATAGCAACACCGACGATCTCACCGTGCGTTGCTGGCCGCCAGCGGCTTCCCGCTCTCCACCTCGCCCACAACGCCGACGCCAATTTCACTCGTCTTTCTTTCCTTCCTTTTCTCCTAGGTTCTAGATTATACAAGATTCGGTATTCTCATGATCATTAGGACTCAGTAGTCTACTCACAGAAAACAGACTCACAAACATAAATAAATGAAAGAAGTGACGGCACGACAAAGGTCTAGGAGCAGCTCGTCTCACACCAGATTGGGTAAGGCCGCCTAAAGCACCGGCGACATGCAGAATTCCAGCAGCGATGGACCGCCGCTCGGCCTACCCCCGCCTTGCCGCAGCCTCACGTACTGATGTACTCAAGCTCAAAATAATGTTCCACATGACACAAAATTTTGGAAGTTACGTTACAAATACAGATCGATCTTAATTTGGAAACAAATATAATAATGACCCATGTGAAGGATGAACACATCAATGCATAAAAAGGAAGACTAGAATTTCTAAAATGAAATGAAGTGTCGTACCCAGACAAAACTACACAAGCAAATGTATCTAGGCAATGTCAGAACTAAAAGCCACATAGCAACTGGAACAACCAGTTTAAGCTCCGTGACAGACTGAGATACTTATGAACCAGCGGTGCCACAAGTGCACAACCCAAGGGGACAACAAATCGAATTTGCCTTGTTCAGTTCCTACATACTCCGTAGTCCGTACCTAAAAATGGCAAACAGATGATAATTGCTAGTCATACTTATTCTCCAAATCTTGTATTCACAATGGTCTTCATTAGGCTTCTACCATGGCATGGTCGGATGGACGCCTGCTGCACCCCTGAGCCATGAAACCTTGATAATGCTTTCTTTCGACCTGGAGTGTGGGACCGTTGGGATGCATGGCTGCTGCGCCCCTGATGTCATCCTCCAAAGCCTCCACCTCGTCAGCAACAGCAGCCCAGCAGTCAACATCGACAGCCACATGTTTGAGGCCGAGTCCCAGATTCTGCAGCCCGAGGACGAGGCCACCTTCCCCAAACTTGAACTGGCACCGTGCCCATAGTCGCAGCTTGAGCCTTTGGAGCTTTGGCATGGCTCCCGGCTCAAACTCCAATGCCGCCTCGCGCCAACAGCACAAATTAAACTTGACCAAACGCTGGAATCCTTGTCTGTTGATTGCATGCCTTGCGTAGAGGATGCTTGAATCTCCATCTTCGTCATTGGATAAGTTAACAGTAAGAGAGAGCAGCATGGGTAAACTTGCTAGGATATTTATTCCTTCCTTGCCTGCTTCACCATAAACATCAATGTGGAGGCGAGACAGGTAGACTAGTGAGCTAATTTGAGGGCCCACCCTATTTAAGTTAATTGTATTAAGAAGAAGCTTTTGAAGTGGTGGTGGAGTAGGGACACACGAAGCCATGAATGAACATGTGGCATCAGGACCACTCCCCCTCATGCGTAGTTCTCGCAGGTGCCTGAACAACCTAGAGACCGTTGAGATACATGCTTTCTTGTGGCCCTCCATATCACGTAATTTACGAGAACATGACCAATCAATTTCAAGTACTTTCAGATTGGTCAGATCACCGAGTCCTTGGATAAACTCTTCAGATTGAATATCCAAATTGATCATTGATAGCTCTTCCAACGCCTGCAGATTTCTGATTTCATCGGGTAGGTGCACTGAGTCACGGACAAAAAGACGCACTAGCTTCTGCAACAGCATAATACTTGCTGGTAGGTTTTCAAGATAGGCCCCTCTCAAATCTAGTGTCTCTACATGTTGCAGCTTTTCTATATCTTTTGGAAGCTTGGTGACCCCGATAAATTGATGGCCTGCCGCCCTCAAGTACTTCAATTGACCAAAACTTTTGACATGTCCAAGATTGTATCCAACAACCTGACTTTCTATATTCAGCACTCGCAAGACTTGGCTGTTTAAGAACTCAGAGGCATGCTTTTTGACCAGCACTGAATTAAAACCAAAGATATTAATTGATCGAATATGAGCTGCATTTTTTATTGTCTTGGCAATCTCTTCCGCCCGGGCAGAAATGTCTTTCTGGATGGATAAATGGCGAATCTTGTTCGAAGAATAATTTTTAGAAAAACCATTACCATTCCATATGGTAACAAAGTTGTCCTCTACAGCCTTCGACACAATGAACTCAAGTATGACATCATGAACTCTGCACTGTTTCACGGTTGTGCCATCTGCCCCAACCTTGGTTGGTTGGACTAAGCTTCTATTGATCAGTTCATTCAAGTAACTTCTCCCTAGTTGCTCCATACTTTCTCTGTCCTGTCC